ATATATATATATATATATATATATATATATATATATATATATATATATATATATATATATATATATATATATATATATATATATATATATACATATAGGTGTTTTATCCCCTTCCCACACTCTTGCAATATTCTAAACAATGTATCTAAACTCTAAATGCTCTAAAAGAGCACAGAATGTCATAATTTCAGCTCTCTGCCTCCAGTTGCACTCTTGGCCACGCCCACTTTTCGGCTCTGCATGGAGATCAGTTAATCAGCTGCAGGAAGACGCTTCTCCCACAGTTGTGGGCTGCACACACGTGCTAAATCATTTAAAATAATTTATTTAAAATTGTAAAAAAATCCATGGCGATCATGCGGCTCATCCACCAATCAGCCAATTGTGTGTCATGTCCAATCTTACTTTGAAAAATCGCGATGGAACAAGTCCGCAAAAAACGAACTGCAAAGTAGCGAGGGACTACTGTATATATGAATTGTTTCTGAGAGAGCTGAGAGCAGAGAGATCCTTCTGTTTTGACTTTGCACTATATAAATAAACTGAATTGAAATTGAATTAAAGTGCAGATAACAGATTTTTATCTTCTTTTTTTAACCATGCGTGTATTTACATGAACATTCATTGCATCTGTTGTAGAAGTGACTTTATTTAGTTTTATCTGTAAACTGCCAACATCATAAAAAACAAAAACTCTTAACATTGTTTTTACCCGTGTCTATAACTATGGTGTCATGTTAGTCCGTTTTATTTGTAGAGCTATTAAACAACTGAGGTTGGCCAAAATAGTTTGAATCCAAACCAAACAGGACAACTACCGGTCAATAAAATCTGTGAAAGGAAGGACTGTACGGTATGTTGCCCACTTCTTTGCATGAATAAGTTTTAAACAGGATCTAAAGGTTGTTAATTTCGAAGACTTGTTGCTCCATATAATTAGCAGGGAATTGTTTTTAGCGTTCACGTTGAGGCTGCGGCTGTCCCTCCCGTCCCGCCCTAGTTTTTTTCCGTTCTGCCAAGATACCATACCATACCACTTTATTTATAAAGCACTTAAAACAGCAACAATGCCAACCAAAGTGCTGTACAGACAAAACAACAGGTAACACACAAAGCAAAATACAAAATGAGGTAAATCAGAATATAGACAAAAAAACGATGCAGATAATGACGACAAACCAGTGTAGAGCATACAGGATCAAAACACAGATCATCTTGTGTTGAAAGCTATTGAATAGTAGTGAGTTTTTAAACGGGACTTTAAAACCGAGAGGGAGGGGGCCTGTCTGATAAGCAGAGGTAACTCGTTCCAGAGTCTTGTTCCTGCTACAGAGAAGGCCCTGTCACCTCTGCGCTTAAGACGAGTTCCTGGAACAGTGAGGAGCAACTGGTCCGCTGACCTCAGGGAACGTGGTGGGACATACGGTTGTAGCAAATCAGAGAGATGGGGGGGGGGCAACACTGTTCAGTGATTTGTAGACATACATGAGTATTTTGAACTGGATTCGAAAGTGAACCGGTAACCAGTGCAGTGAGGCTAAAACTGGTGTAATGTGCTCTCTTTTGCCTGTACTGGTTAAAAATCGGGCTGCTGCATTCTGGACCAGTTGTAGTCGTGCAATGGAGGTCTGACTGATACCAAACAGGAGTGAATTGCAGTAATCAAGCCTAGATGTAATAAATGCATGTATTACTGTCTCCAGGTTCTTTTTGGACAATATGGGCTTCAGTTTAGACAGCCGCCTCAGTTGGAAGAAACATGATTTAACAATCATGTTTACATGATTGTTAAGTTTCAGGGAAGGGTCCATTATCACGCCCAGATTAGTGACTCTTTGTTTTTCTGACAGGGTTAGAGCGGAAAGGTCGATGCAGTGGTTTGTGATCATGTCGTTGGGAGGGACCAACATGACTTCAGACTTCTTTTCATTGAAACTTAAGAAATTTAAAGCCATCCAGTCCCTGATGTCAGCCAGGCAGTTGAGCAGCGGTTGAATAGAGCATGTACCATTGTGTCTTAGGGGGAAGTAAATTTGACAGTCATCGGCATAGAAGTGGAAGTGCATGTTGTGTTTCCGGAAAATAGCACCAAGCAGCAGCAGGTATAAAGAGAATATGAGGAGACCCAGTATGGACCCCTGCGGAACCCCCCATTTAAGCTCTTCCTCTGCGGAACTAAAATCCTTGATGGAGACACAAAAGGATCTGTCATTGAGGTAAGATCTGAACCAATTGAGGGCTGATCCTGTGACGCCCACCCACTGCTCCAACCTAGCAATGAGGATCTCATGGTCGATGGTGTCAAAGGCGGCTGTGAGGTCCAATAGGACAAGCAGCACAGAATCACCAGTATCTGTGAATCTGAAGATGTTGTTAAAGACCTTCAGCAGGGCAGTTTCAGTGCTGTGGAGAGGTTTAAAGCCAGATTGGAAAAGCTCTAAGATGGCGTGATCCTCCAGGAAGCACTTCAACTGGGACTCGACTATTTTCTCCAGTACTTTAGAAACAAATGGGAGTTTGGAGACAGGCCGGAAGTTGGAAACGAGTGAGGGGTCAAGGTTTGTTTTTTTCAGGAGAGGCTGGACGGCAGCATGTTTAAAGGATTTTGGCACCACGCCAGTGGATAAACTACTGTTTACTATGGCAAGAATGGACGGACCTAGAGTAGGAAAAACCTCCTTTAGTAGTCGAGGGGGGACCACATCAAAGGGGGAGCCAGAAGGTTTCAAGTTGCACATGACCTGCTCTAGAGAAGATAGAGTGATGGGTTCAAAATGGTCAAAAGAAGCTACAGATTGAGGTGGGATGGATGGGTCATGAGTTGGAGGGGAAATGAGAGCCCGAGTGGTCGCAATTTTTTCCAAAAAGAAATGTAAGAAGTTGTCGCAGAGCTCAGTCGAGGCTTCCAGAGGTGATGGTTCAGTGAGGTGGAGAACAGAGTTTAGGGTGGAGAAGAGGACACGTGGGTTGTGAGAGTTTGAGGTAATTATATCAGAGAAGAATTTTGATTTTGCAGCTTTTACTGTTTTCTGATAACAGCGCCAACTCTCTTTAAGTATATGGAAAGAGACCTGCAGCCTGTCTTTCCTCCACTTTCATTCCGCCCTCCTACATTGCTGCCTAACGGCCTTGGTGACGTCACTCAGCCAAGGTTCTGCTCTGAGTTTTGATTTTTTGGTTTTAACAGGTGCGACATGATCCAGAGTCTTTAAGCAGACAGAGTTGAACTGGGATGTCAGCTCCTCAGTGGTGGTGAGAAACACTGGGGTCTGAATTATCATTTCAGAGTTATAAACATCTGTGAAACGTGTGGCAGTGGAATGGTTAATGGTCCGGGTGGGACGTGCAGGAATGCACGACTTAGGAGTTAGATGGGGGAGGGTGAACTCAAACCGGACTGGCATGTGGTCTGAAAAAACATTATCACCAATAACAAGATTATTAACAGTCATATCATGAGTTAAAACAAGGTCCAGTATATGTCCACGCTCTTGGGTGGGACCGTTTACATGCTGAGTTAAATTAAATGAGTCTAATAAATCTAAAAAGTCCTTAACCAAGGGCTTCTCAGGATATAGATATGTATATAGATATAATAGAAGTACTGTAGAAGCCAAAATGGGTTGAGCGCCCCCTGTAGGCTGTTAGCGTTACCAATCAGTCTAACATGCATGTTTTTGGTCTATGGGAGGAAACCGGAGTACCCGGAGAAAATCCACGCATGCACGGAGAGAACATGCAAACTCCACCCAGAAAGGTCCATGATCGGGGTTTAATCTGGCGACTTTCTCGCTGAGATGCAGCAACTCTGCCAACTGTGCCACCGTACTGCCTTGTTGTATTTTCATAAAATACAAAGTAATTTTTCTGATGTGCTTAACTGTAAATAATTGTGTAATACCGAAATAAACTGCATAATTGTGTGTTGGGGAGTGGGCGGGGCTTACAGCTTCAGAAACAATATGGCAACACCCACAAATCTTGGATATATTAGCTTCAATTTGAACATTAGGAGGCGAAGTCACTTTACCCATCTTTTTCACACTGATGCAGCATTTCCACAGAAGCAAACATTTAAAAAAATGAAAAATCTAAAATCCGTTTTTCAATGAATTGTCCTAATTTTGTTTGTTTGTTGTTGTTGTATTTTAAGCTAATACAGGGTTTTTTTTCTTCTTCTTCTTTCTGCTGCTCCCTGCGTTGGGGGTCGCCACAACGACCTAAGTCGCACGAAGACATGGCAGTTATTTTTATGCCGGATGCCCTTCCTGACGCAACTTTTAAGCTAATACAGGAATATGATAGTTATATTCAAAATGTGAGAGAACATCAAGTGCAGAGATTAAATTCAGAACAGGGATAAGAAGCAATGAACTACCAGTCAATGACCTTAGTAGGAATTTTCTTTTTCTCTGTTTAAAATGACGTAATCAGGTATTCGGTTTCGTTTTACTTGTGCTTCATGTATTTTGTTCAAGCAGGAGTAACACTACTCTCTTTGTTCTTCGAAGTTCAACCCGAGGAAGTGAGGATCGAGAAAACGGATGAGAACTCTTTTGACTGTTTGACTGAAGCTAACCCGCAAGCCACCTTTACATGGAACAGGTAAAGTATTTGAATAATTCAATAATTATTCAAATTAATAATATGATTTCCATGAACCCTAAAGCAGTTTGTACTGAACTTTGATAACCAACGAAGCGGCGCCATCACCAGAATGAATGTCAGCTGTGACAAAAAGGAACTGACGTATTAAATAACTGACATTTTAGTTCATTATATATTGCACATAAGTGGGAGACAACTGTAGTTGGAGACAATATAGCCACAAATGCAAAATACTACATTGATAAGCTTTTCTCACGAAGGCCTTATCTAACTGCCTTGCAGAGTCGTTGCATTTATCTGACATAATGCTGCACTAAGAGGTGACCAGATGTTTTTCTCCTTTTATTGAACAAGCTGCTAAGCGGACCAAACCACCATCAAGGCAGGGAGGTTGACTTTTTTTGAACACTATTTATTTAATTATTGTTCTTTTTGCATTAGTTCTTTAAAACGTATTCTGTTTCTTAATGTAGAATAGTATCAGACAGTTTAGAAAGGTTTTGCAAATTGTGAAGACGGAACTTTATGTGTTGCAGTCTGGAACAGTGAACTCTGCCCTCTACAAGCTTTTTGCCAGTATTATCTCAGGAATCGAAGAAATACCAGTGATAAAGGGACATTGTTCACATACTTCTCACAGTGCTTGTTTAAATATAGTTTTTTTTTTATACCATACTGGCTGTCGTACACGTCGCACTGCCATATAAGTCGCATCAGTCCAAAATTGTCTAATAAAGTGGAAAAAAACACAAGTCATTTTGCCGTATAAGTCACATCTACACATCTATTATGTGTCACTGCTGACCACCCAGAAACGTGGGCCGGTGTTGTGCCAAGAATCGATTGGCTGCCAAATGGCGGCTGCGACAGCGTGCATCGGAAGACTTTAACAAGAATTTAACAAGATAAACACTTAAAAACAATTATTTGTTTGCTCAAAATTATAGTAAAGGTGTGTCTCAGTTGAACTTTTCCTTAATAAATGCACTTTAATGGTCAAATCAGCTGAATTTTGCTTGCGCGTCATGAAATGCAGTTGATTTGACGTTTGCTACAGGAGTTCCGGAGCGAGATGAAGGTGGCTACTATGGCAAGCCAAGTGTCTCATTAATAGCCACTTTTACCTATTAATGAGACACTTGAATTGCCATACAGGTCGAGGGCCCCCTAGTTCCTGAAAATGGTAATGTTTAATATTTTTCTTGTCAGAATGAATCGTCGAATGAAATCGTCAGATCTCAGGCCAAAATTGGGTTATAAATATGGGAAAAAAAACGTGTATTAGTCGCTTCGGTGTATAAGTCACAGGGCTTGCAAATTTATGCCTAAAGGTGCGACTTATATGGCGAAAAATACGGTACATTAAAAAAATTATAGTGCGAGGGTCAGAGAATAACTGGTATTAAAATTAGCATAAAAAAAGGATAAACATGAATATTTATTAATAAGATTTATTTATTACAAGATAGTAGTGATGTCATAATGTATAAAACGAGTTTAGATTTAGTTTTGACTTTTTAAATAAACCTAAAACAAAGCCTAATCTATGCTACAATGACTGTTTATTTAAATAGTTATTTTGTCCACACATCATGTCTCAGCTCTGAACCATTTCATCGCACAGTCGGTGTTGAACACGGACAGGATCTGGTTAAAGCAAGACAGACCCAGAAAAAAATTAAATTAAAACAGCAAAGTGCCAAAATAGGCAGCTGTCTTTGTTTCTGAAATGCTCTGTATCTCCTGTCCACATGGATACACCAGTTTTTAAAACGTTCTTCTCACATAAATGTATGCATGAAGCCATAGACATTGATTTAGCTGCTAGTAGGACTGATGGTTTTAAAATACTGGCTTGTCATAAGTTTCAGATGTGGTAATACTGCAAAAACAAGGTCATAAATCCAGACTATTTTTCAAGTTTTAACGTCTCTGCTGCCTTATCAAAAACTTATTTAAGACTTAAAATGTACAAAGCACCCTCCTCTTTTTTATGTATTATGTTTAAACACGTGAGCCTTTGAAGTTTCCATCTAAGTAAGCAAAGATTTTTGTTGTGGGTTTTAAAAATGATAGGTCAGGTTGAACGTTGTGATGGGTTACAACAAAGTGATGCCCTTCAGTGTTGTATAGAAAACATTAGCAAAAAGAACTAATAATATTTATAATAGAGCATAAAAACATTCAAAATCCTCTGTCTAAATGTTATAATTGATAATTATAAGTCTTAGTATACAGCAGTAATGTGAGTCCAATACAAAATTAATACCCGTTTTATTCATGTTCTCTTAAACTTATTGGAACCATGGAAACAAAAACAAATATTTCACTTAGTTAGTTCACTTATATTAAAAGTGTATAGTGAAATAAAACTAGAGTATGTTTGTTTTTAATACAGTAGCCGCATTGCGTGAGGGTTGAAGCTTCTCCTCTGTTTTTATGAAACAAAGGAATGTTATTGCTCACCAGACAGGCATCTGGTATTCTTCTTGTGGTCGAGATGGGAGAGACCTGGTTCAGGATAAATGGGTCATGTGATTTTATTGTAAAGTAAAGACTACACCCCACTGTTGGACTACTGTGTCAGCTGCAGCAAATTCTCTTTAGACCAACATATGTTGTTTGTCTTTCAGACAAGGTGTCCAAAATGCAGTTTAAAGTGAGGTTTTCAGTTTGAGCAGAGAGAGCTTCATCATAAGTGGGTATAAATTGTCTATGCTAAAATCTGAACAGAAGTAGCTTTAATGGCTTCCTTCCCTAGATAGATAACTTTTTAAATTGTTGGCTTTTATATATATGTTAATGTTTCTGTTCAGTGCCCTGAGACGACTTCTATTGTGACTTGGCGCTATATAAATAAACTGAATTGAACTGAAAGTAAATGACCATAATTTTGGCATAATTGTTTCCTTTTCTCAATAGCTATGTTTACATGGACATAAGTAATTGGATTAAACGACCATTCGGAATAAAAATGCATCTTGTAAACATGGATTATTCTTTGTTGATTCAGCTCGATCCGAATGAATTTGTAATCCGAATGAGAGAGGTGGTTTATGCCAATTCATAATCTGAACGGTGTGCATGTAAACACTTAATCTGATCATTTTATTCCGATCGTGGAAAACTGGTCTGACTGCGCATGTGCGACCTATGTCTGCCTCACGTGTTTCTGCCTGGCTAGATGCTGATATGTCGGGGAAGCAAAACTGGTCGGTGAGCGACACATTTCTACTAGAAATTTTGAAAGAGCTCAAAATGATCTGTATTACCTGTAGCTCAGTCAGGGAGTGCAGTAATGTCTCCACCGTCATTAAAACCTGTCGCGGGTCCATTTTGGGTTCTCAGTTTTGTTTACGTTCATCACTGAAGTAGAACTTCTTCTTGTGTTGTTTTTTTTAAAGGAGAGTTTACCACTCTGCACATGCCAGTACTTCTATTCTCAATAAAAGCCTGCTGCATGTAAACGCTCGTGAATGGATTGTGCCCATGTAAATGATACATTTGGATTATTGTATCTGAAAACATTTCAGTCTGGTCAAAGAATTTTGTGCATTTGAACATAGCTAATGTGGGATAAGATGCCATGTGACATCATGTGACAGTAATTTTTCTGTTGCCTGAATGGGGGCTTGTTTTTGTGTCCCATGTTAAGCACATTAACTTGGCAGCATGCTAGCTTAGTAGTTAGCACTGTTGCCTTACAGCAAGTATGTCCTGAGTTCAAGCTTTTCAGTGTGGAGTTTGCATGTTCCCACGTTTAGGCTGCCTTCAGGCTCAGGCCCTTCTTGATAAAGGGATCTGTGGTCTCAGTGGGATTTGCCTGGTTAAATAAAAGATAAACAATAACAGCAATCATTCAAACATGTTGAATTGTGTACTTGACAACAGTGTTGTTTTTGACTGCCATTTTGATTTTAGTTTTAGTCTTAGTCTTTTAGACAAAAATACTTCTTAGTTTTAGTCAGTTTTAGTCATTTCTATATTTAATGGTTTTAGTCCAGCTTTAGTCGACAAAAACTTTAAAATTTTAAGTCTAGTTTTAGTCTTTAAAATAAATAGAAAACATATTAGTCTTTACAAATTAATTTGAGTAATTTGTTTTAATAGTGGAATCAAATACTGGTACTCCAAAAATGCCCAAAACAAAAACATTCTCACTTTGTGGCTTTATTTCTCAAAATGTGCTAAAGTGCAATGAAGTACAAATGCCCAATATTATAATAAAAGGGAACACACATGTTAAACTCAAACTTTTCAACCAGGACAATGAAGACATAAAAACAGACTGTCCTAAACCTTGACTATCTTTAACTTGTGCAAACATTCTAAACCAAAATAATAAAATATATCTCTTCTTATTCTCTTAAAGTATGAAATATGCCACTGGAAGTTTTGAAATCTAAAATGAATAAGTCAACCCCAGAACACTAAGTACTGTATACACACTGTATCTGGTCTTTAAAGTAAGTATGAAATAAATAAACAACAAAAATGTTTACCACAACATTGTTTAGAATAGATAGGGTATTCCCCAGTCCTCTGTACATTGATCAACATGGGTTTTTATACACTCAGCAGTGTGTGGGTGAGGGAGCTGGTCAAGTCTCAACAGTATGTGCTGTGCTTTGTTTTCAACAGTGCAAAAAAAGCATGCACTAATTGCTAGAAATGATGCTGTAAGGCCTTTTTTGGTCCATATGTCCAGTCCAATTGTTATTTTGTGTGCTGTTGCAAGCCTCTCTTTGAACTTTTGCTTTTCACCATCATAAATCTTGTCAACCAAGTTGTTTATTTTTGTTCTTTTCGGTATGGTGAGCCTCTTATCAAAGGTCTCCATCATAAGGATGAAATCTTCATCCTCAACTGTGCAAGCAGGTAGACCTGTTCGTCCAATCCAAAGAGCAATCGCCTGTTCTTTGGCATGTTGTTCCTGAGAATCTGTTTTATATTTAGATCCTGCGGCAAAGGCTGCTGGTATAGATGACTGTGACCTG